CACCAGCAGTGTATCAACTTCATCTAGAAATTCTGCTGTATAGTAGAAAGAGCAATAAAGACAACCTGACAATAAGTTACTGGATCCAGAGGAAAGAAACCATTGTCAGGGTTATTCCTGTTAATAATAATCTCAGGTTGGAAAATTAAGTTGATGCCTTTGTCTAATTCAGCATGATGCTAATTTTGAAAAGCATTTTTAAAAGGCTTTACACTTAACGATCCTTGGGCAGTAAGGTTTGCTCCTTTAAAGCAGTGAATGCATGTTCTCATCTTTAAAATATAGGAATATTACAGTTATAGTTGACCCTTGAGCAGAACAACTATTATACCGTAAAATCTCACTTGTCACTTGTCATATTGTAACATTCCACAGGTCAAGTAATGAAAGGAATATTACTAGTCTAGAGGGTTCTACATAAATGCCAACACCAGTTTAATTTGTGTAAGTGTAAAGTGTACACAAGTTCCACAAATTTCAGGAAGAAGACATTAGAAAGAGATATGATAAAAGGAGCTTGCATACCTGCAAACATTCAAGTATACAAGTAATATACTTCGCTCTCTCATTCGTAAGGTTCTCACTTGATCTTCCCCCAGAATTTAATAGTTCTTATCTATGATATGGGCTTTACCATCCATCAGTATTCTGTCCCTCTGTTAGTGTTTTTATATCTAGGTCATATCCTTCAAACTTTGAGGCCGCGCCCCTTCAAACCTAAGACTTAAACATAGGTAGAGACTGTTCCTTTGCCAAGCACCTGGCACTAGAAGTGAAAGTCATGGGTCTTTTGGATGAGACCTTAAAAACCAAGGTCCCATGTCAGTCTTGTAGGCATTTGCATGATAAAGAACCTTCACTGCTCCATGGCCATGAGTGCCGAGTATAGGTCTAAATTTGAAGCCCTTCACTGGCATACAGTGAAGTCACAATATGGGTGAAAAATTCTCGTACGGGACATTAAGCAAAATACAACAATCCATCGATCAAAGGATTTTCAAATACATAACAATATTGAAAATCTTTTTTACTTACAAACTTTTAGCAGACAAACTGCATGATTAGGCCAAAAAAAATTGATCAATAGTATCTCGGGCACCGCCAAATCAGCTCAAAAACTGCCGAATTGATCAATTTTATTGACATTTTGAGAAGGGGAATAACTCAATTTTCTATTTTACCAAGTTGAAAAGAAAATTTAGTTATTCCCCCTTTCATAAATGCTAATAGATGGATGTTTTTATTAGATAAGCAATATATTACTTGTTAATATGGTATTTTATTGAATTAACTTTTAAACAAATGTTTTGAATAACATTATTTTATGTTGAATATATATTATAATTAATGCTAAAAGTAAGAATCAAATGATATCATCAAGTTGTTAAATGAAGGTATAACACCTGCTTCAAAAAAAACAAACAAACCTGCCTGCTGTATTGAATTTTGAAATTTTTGGCCTGAGAAACTATTAATTAATTTTTTTTTTTTTTTTTGTACTTGACACTTATCAAAACTGTTTAATTTCATCATGGTTCCTGGCTTCACCCCTCATGCCTCAGAATTGGGCCTGTTGGTACGTGTAATGTTATTAAATATAAAGGAGGAAGACTTTCCCACAAGAGACAACAGAGGCATGTAAATGTGTGAATTTTGTGAGTGTTGGTCAGCTCTCTTCCTGAATCGTGATATTCAGGACATGGATTTAATTTAGGTTCAGACCCAAGGGTAGGGGGTTCATTATATTATGGAAAACCTTAGAAAATGTTTAAGAAATCAAGCTTCCATTATCTTGTCACTGAGGAAGGAAACAAGATTTTAGAGGTAATATTGATTTGGAAAAGAGTTGAATTCTTTGATATCATTTTAACTTCATTAATTTCAGGTGGCAGACTGTGTCATTAAAGATAGAATCTGCAGAAAGTTTACTACCTATAAAGTTTCAAGTTACAGGCAGTATAGGAAATGAAAACACCTTGATGGCTGTGGACAACATTAAAGTAGAAGTATCTTCAGGTATTGTATTTTTAACCTGTGTTGTATTTCCTCAACATGTTTTTCTTATTTCACCTGAACCAAAAGTACAATTAATTTAAGCTTTTCTGATCACCTGACTCTAGAACCATAAAACTTATATAAGCTCTATTTTTATCTTCTTACTTTTTCATAATAAAATAATTTTGAGAAAGTGAGACAGTCACTGAAAAAAAGTAAGCTTGTTCAAGTTTTATGGCCCCAGTCAACTGTCTGTTGACTTTTCACATTTTTGATTCCTCAAGAACCAGTGGACCAATTTCATGACCAGAATTTCAACCAACTTTCCAGAAAGCATCCTTGGGTGAAGAATATTCTAGTTTGTTCATTTGAAGAGCCACATCCTGTTTTAATGGGAGATAATTAAGAGATGGCAAAAATAGATTTAGGTCATTTATAAATGAACTATTAGCTCCCCGTGGATAATCTTCCATGGATGATGCATCTTAGGGATTCAACTACCAGGCTTGCTGCAGAGGCTGGATCTATCCTACATTCTGTGGATGAGTGGATAGGTTAAAGATTTTGGAGCAGATCCATTCTCAAGTAACTATAAGTCTTACCTATACCAAACTTTCAGAGATGATGCATCTAGGGATGTACACTACTCGAGCTACTTTGGATGCTTGATCTGACCTACTTTTTCCACATAAGTTACTTTTAGCTGAACCTAGACCAAAATGGCATAATACTCAAGTCTTATACAAGGTGCATCATGTAGTATAAGACTTGCTTTGAGGCTGGATCTGACCTACATTTTCAGGATGAGTGAAGAGGTTAAAGTTTTAATGGTAATTCCATTCCCAAATAATTTAAGCCCTATCTGAATCAAACTTACGGGGATGATGCATCTAGGGATGCACACTACCCAACTTAATACGCATGTGAGTTAAGGCTAGGTGGCAGTGTTTCTATGCAAATGAGTAAATAAAACAAAAGGAGAGGTTTATCTATTATATGAAGAACGTTTGAATTCAAGTGTCTCATACATACTTAGAACCCAGGACATGTTATAGCCAGTACACATTATGATGTCATGTTATGACATCATTGTTCTTTACTACTCAAGGTAATAAAACATGTCAGCAAAACAACTTGGGCGTAAGGGCAGGTCCTATTCAATTTATAGAATCCTGAGAATATTCTAAAGATTAATAAATTTGCTGCACGAATCCTATGCACTTTCTCATTTGATCAGAATTTGAGAAAACTTAACCAGACTGTGCATTTTTTCCTCGTTTCAACTCAAAACTTTAGAAAATAAATTTGCTGCACGTATCCTATGCATTTTCTCATTTGATCAGAATTTGAGAAAACTTTACCAGACTGCAGTTTTTCCTCGTTTCAACACAAAACTTTAGAAATAGTAACTAAACAATTAAACTGTTGATACATCAGTGTTTCACAAACATATCTTGTTTGTTAATGTTCATGGAAAGAACAAAATAATGTCATAATGTGCACTACCTATAACCTTGTGGGTACCAAGTACATATGAGACCTTAAGTTTAAGCCTTTTTTGTTTCCATAGAAATGCCTATACCCCTAGCCTTAACTCACTTGCATACGGATGTTGGATCTGACCTATATTTTCCAAATGAGTAACCAGGTCAAAGTTTTTGGAGCAGGTCCAATCTCTGAAGTCCTAATGAAAACCAAACTTGCATGAATGTTGACCTCAGGATGCACACTTGCCTGGAATAAATTTGATGTGAAGTTTGTAAACTATAACATTCATAGAGGTGAGCTTCATAATCTTTGCCGTGAACATATTTTTCTGTATGTTGAACACTACTCTGCAGCAGCTGCACTGTTTACCTGTCTGCCTGAAAATGACCTGAATTCTAAAATTCAACATAGAAAAAAACCCTCTGTACATAAAGATCAGTACTGATTGCTAATAATTATCTTTTGGATCCTGACCCAGCTTTTTTTTATGCTGTCCGGGGCTATAGTTTTTGGTCTGTCCACATGTCCAGACCTTTCTTTGAGTGCCAACAATTTTGACCTTTCAACGTTGACCTTAGAGTTTGGCCTATTTTTGAAAACCTTTAACCTTGGCCATAACTTTTAAACAGTAGTTGCTAGGACTTTCATATATCACATGTATATTGCTTGTAACAAGACCCTTCTTTGGGTACCAACATTTTGGATCTCATGACCTTGACCTGAGAGTTTGACCTACGTTTGAAAAAAACTTTAATCTTGCCTATAACTTTTGAAATGTTGCTACTTAAAGTTCAGATTTCATTTAGACATTTATTGTAACAAGACTTTCAAATTGGACCATAATTTTTTGACCTCATGACATTGACCTTGGAGTATGACCTACTTTTTGAAAAACTCTAACCTTGACCACATTTTCTTAATGGTTGTTAATAGGGGTATTATATTTCACATGTGTATTCTTTATGACAAGGCCTTTCTTTGGGTATTAACATTTTTTTTTGAATCTTGACCTTGGATTTTGACTACATTTGAAAAACTTTTAACCTTGGCCTTGAGCTGTGATATGGGGGCATCAGTGTTTTACAAACACACCTTGTTTTTACATGTACTTGCATGTATTTTATGAAATGTAGATTGCAGAAACTATTTCTGATTATTAAGCGATATCTTCCCTATTGGGATACAACACCTCTTCTTACTGAACAATCAAGACCTGAGGATTCATTTTCAGGGAATATTCAATTTGAAATGAATTTGGATGAAATCAAATTTAGGTATTTTAAAATTTGCAAAGGAATACTACTTAATGTTCAAAAAAAAGGAAATGTGCTGATTTGCCAAATTTCAAACCAAGTCTCAGGTTTAAGTATTATATATATCAGTATGTCTGTCTATCATTTGATCTCAACATTTGAATACAAGGATGTATTGGAATAGAAAGTGATATTTTAATTTTCTGGTTGCATATATCTCTTTAGATATGTAGACAGGCTGAGGCATAGCCTACATTTACTGTCATGTCCACTTCTCTTAAGAGTAAAGGTTGCACAGTGAAGCATTCATAGACTATTATATAGAGGGAGGAAATCTATTAATTGATAACTGTTTTTAAAATCTCTTGCAGATGGTAAAGAATTTAAACCTGTCTATTTTACCAATCAGCCTTCCTGCAATGAAAAAGTCAGCGGACCTAAGGATATAACAAAAGACACACATTGTTATG